TGGGCACATGCTTTTCTCTGGTGAGCAACTAGCTCTAGCCATGATGGGAGATATATTTCAGAAAACCCAGAGTTGGAAGACAACGATGGTATAGTTTAATGGGACAAGAAAAAGAACTTGTGCGTGAGATGGAATCATAAGGCATTGTCTCCATCGCCTTAATGCGAAAAGAACCATATAGACAGTGAACCAGAAATTAGTTATGTTGGACTTCCTCAATCTAGGTAAAAATTGGCACAAGAAAATAAATGGTCTATAGCTTTTCAGAATGCTAACGGTACTTTAGATCACACCTATAATTTATACTACTCCTGTTGGCTGCCCACCAAATAGCTGCAGAACAAATTTAAATTTTCTTTGGAAGAATGAACTTCCCACAGGCACATCAGAGAATGCACAAAGATAAAGGTGCAGGCAACGCTGCTCCATCAGTGGAGCATTCACCAGTTACATTTGGAAAATGGCACTGTGAAAATCATTTAGCAGCAAGCAGAGTAATTTTATTAGAATTTTGTGTTTCATGATTCTTGTGTTAAGAGAAGGGGATTATGAGAATCATCTAAACAGATTTTTTTTTAAAGAACAAAAGAAACTTTAAAAAGTGAAATTGAAATCGAAGCGAATCTACCTTGAATTGATTAAATAGTAAATTCATCATGGCTGAAGATAGGATAGGTGGAAGAGAGAACTGACAGAGTTATACAGAATGCAATATATTAAGAGAGAGTTGTGAGGTCTTCGAGGTTAGCCACTAATGTGATAGATAGATAAATAGATAGATAGATAGATAGATAGATAGATAGATAGATAGATAGATAATTCAGTGACCCTAAAAGGAGAAAATGGGAAGAATGATGAAAACATGGCTTTTGGAGAAAATAGCTAGGAATTCTGCAGAATTAGATATTGCCAGCCTAAGAATTCTACAGGCTCTTTTTTTTTTTTTTAAGAAAAAATGTGCAAAGTGCCCAGAAACAGATTGTCTTCCTGCCTGAAACGGTAGCCAGTGGGAGGCAGTGGACTGACATCTGTAAGTGGTGGTAGTCAAGGGTTCTTGAATGGATGTACATGTAACAGATTTCATGAGCAAGTTAAGTCATGCTTCTGAAGCAAACAGAAGACCCTGAGCTGGACATCAAAGGTGCCAGAAGAAAGCAGACTGCAAAGGGGTATGAAACAAAGAGTGTGCTTGTAACTTTGAAATAAGCATTGTTCAGAGTAGTGACAGAAATGGTGATTTCTAGGGTTAAAAAAACAAAACCCAAAGAGTGACTCTGGTCATATGTATCTTAGACTTGGGTATAAGACACAGGTAACATGAGGTAAGACACTCTTAAAGTGTGTGTTGCTCGTGAATAGAAGAAAACGGTATTGATGACTTTACATGGCCTGTAGTCCAGTTCCTACGACCAAGTTCATAGGATTAGCACGTGGTAAGAGAATGATCTGACCGAAAGTAACAACACTGGACATGAATGCATCAATAATCAGTTACTTTAAATGGGCTTCACCTCTAGTCAAAGATAGCTTTGTTTTGTTTTGCTTAAGAAAGGGTCTCACTATCGCTCTGGCTTTTCCTGTGTACACTAGGCCGGCCTCAAACTCACACAGTTCTACATCCCTCTGCCTACCTAGTTCTGGGACTGAAGGTATATGCTACCATGCCAGGCTAGAGAAAAATATCTTAGCTTCAGAAAAGAAAAAAGTTCATTTTAAGAGACATAACTAGTATTAGTGTAAAAAAAAAAGTAGTAAGTGATTTAAACATAATCAGATTTTTTTCCCCCTATAGGAGCTATTGAGTGTTAGAACACGTTTCTAAAATGTTTGTTTCACTAAGAACGTAATGGTTCTGTACTAAATTTAACAAAATAGACATAACTGCAGTGAACATTAATAAATCCAGAACATTAAGTGGGTTTGACACAAAGGGCATACAGAAACAACTGGAGAGTATATATAGTTTACCAGCTTATAGCACACAGAGCATTTCCCAACACTGTGGACACAGTTGTTTAAGTATTTCAAAATTCAGTTTGTTAAGAAATTATACCTTTACACTGCAAGGTAATTAAGTGTTCAATAAGCTTTTTAAAATAACTACACTTACATGCTTTAAATATAAAAATTATATGTAATCCATGTGTCAGAGAATTTTAAAAGGCTGAATTATACACATTTGTGGTCAAGTAGTACTCAGAATAAGTTAATAATCAATGCAATGGAATATTTGAACAATGAGCTCACAAGAGATTTAGAAAATTGAATAAAAACAACTTACATCTTAGAGTAATATTCAACAAGAGGCAAATGAGGGCTCAAGGGAAAATTATTAGTTGAGTTTGGGACTCACAGAATAAGTAATTTTTTTTTTAATATTTGTGAGTTTTTCTAATAATTAAAGTGTTATAACCAGGGCATGTGAGATGGCTCAGAAAGTGAATGAACTTCATCCACAAGACTGCAGACCAAAGATTGATCTTGGGAGCCTACATAAAAGTAGATGGAAAAAATAAAATAATAAAATAAAAAACAATGCCACAATTGTTTCAGACCTCTCCACATGTACCATGGCACGCACGCACACACACACACACACACACGAAGCACACAATAATATATTAGCAGGGAAAGATAATTATGAGTCCATCAACATTAAATACTGGATGTGACAACCTAAAATTTCCTGCAGTGAAAACAATACTTCTCAAACTTGAAAACATTTTTACAACAGATATGACAGGAACGACAGTGAGAAGTTTGAACCAAGGCTCCAGAAAAGCTGTTCATGAAACAATTAGAAGTAATGTACAAGAAATTCCAAAGATGTTCAACAGCAAATGTAGTCCAGGGAAAGAACCAAAAATGTGTGTGTGTGTGTGTGTGTGTGTGTGTGTGTGTGTGTGTGTGATATGAGCAAAGGTTTCATATTCAAGGGTATTAGTGTACATGGTTTATACAGATTTTTCTCCATTTTTCATAATGATATTCAGCTTTGCTCATGATCTCTCTTTTTTCTCTCTTTCTGTCACATGCATCACATGCATACACTGTACATTACTGGCCTTTCGATGTATGTGTGTGTGTGTGTGTTTGTGTTTCTGTCTGTGTAGGCTCAGTAAATGTTGAGTATCTTCCTCAGTATCTTTTCACCTTACTTTTTGAGACAGTCTTTTACTGGATGCGGGATGTATGGATTTGTCTAAAAACTCCAGTGACCTGCATTATAGCCGCATGCCACTGTCACTGACGTTTTCACACAGGCACTTGGGATCCGAGCTCAGGTCTTCGTGCCTGCATAGTAAGCACTTTATGAAGGCAGCCATCTCCACAACCCGATCCCATTATTAGGGTGTGCTTTCATGCAGTTTAGTTACATTATTTTCACGGGTTGTTACCAGTTTCTATCCACTGTACTCTTTGGTCTAGTAATTCTACTTCTGATAAAAGAATATCTCCAGTTTCTAATATGCTCAAAAATTGGTCACATCCTTGTTCATATTAGCAAAAAATCTGGGTAACATTCTGGGGGAATAAAAAGGTACATTAAATGAATTTGTACGTGTATGTGTGCCTTCACATAGCCAAATAAATACATAACCGTGTTATTTATTCTGCCACATAAGGAATGATCTGTTGTACTAGTAGCCACTAATTATATCTCATGACAAGTGGTCTACAGCATATGCGATACAAAATAAGAAACAGTAGAGTAGAATATCAAGGATTGAGAGCTAATAACTTGGGGGTGGGGGTCCTGTCTTCTCTTCTCTACAGAAGTCCTTATATCTCAAATCCCTCTCGGTGTTTTCATCTCTAAAATGAGGGCAGAAATGGGTACCAGACATCTCTCTCACACACACACACACACACACACACACACACACACACTCACACACACACACTCACACAAACACACACTCACTCACTCACTCACTCACTCACTCACTCACACAAGCAGGCTGGGGAAATGCCACCTCTCTTCCTCATCCACGCAGACATTATTGTTTTAGTGTTTTTTCTCTATGCTCAACGATGATGCAGCAATTGGCTTAGTACCGTGTTCTAAGCCATGACTTCCGAACCGTTTGTTCTTTAAACTTAAACCTCCTCTGCTGCTCTTAAACAAGGTCTTTTGGCCACAAGATGTTTTCATATTGGCATAATATATTCGTTGTGCACATTTTTATTTAAACCATATAATGTATTTTGAGTGTATAACCTACATGGGGTCCCTGTCTTTAAGTCGCTTCTGCTCTCATGTCAGATATACATGCATGGTTTTTTGCATGTATATACATACCGTCTAAGATCCACTAATGAAAGCATGCAACATTTGCCCTTTTGAGGCTACCTTGATTTACTCAGTGTGATAATCTCCAGTTGCATCCGTTTCTCCCAAACAACACCTCTGTTTCAGCAAGAAAAAAAAAATTCTGATCAAGGAACATCATTGTGGCAAAAAGTAACAGGGAATTCTTTCCAAGAATAAATTTTTTAGACCCAAACCTTCTCTCATAATGACCTTATTTTTAAGAACTATATGCATATTTATAACATTTCTTACGCCAGAAGCAATTATTAGTCTTTGCATTTATTCAGAATTAAATAAGGTTAAAACATGAGGTGATGCTTTCTGTAGTCATATGTTTGCTCTCAATGTCCAAGTGTGGCTAGTGGCTAGTGGCTAGTCTATCAGATGATACAAGCAAAACAGCCCTAGGCATGTTATATGGTTAAGTTTCAGCCTTTAGGGTGATTTTCAGCCTTTACAGTGATTTTAGAATAGTAAGATATCAAAAATAAATATCTTCAGCCTACAGCCCAAGGTCACACGAGGAAGGGATAAAGAATTTGCCACAGACAAGGTTGATGCTACTTGGGGAGAAAATTCTTGAAACCCCCACAGCTGGATACTGTTGTTGCCACTCTGGCAGCGACGCAGAGGGCTGGTGAGATCCAAGTATCTTACTTTAGAAACTGTGTCTGTTCTGCTGCAGGCACGGGACCCGCTGTGCTGGAGAAGTGGCAGCCGCTGCAAACAACTCTCACTGCACCGTTGGAATCGCTTTCAACGCGAAGATCGGAGGTAGGTATGGGACACTTCCAGGGGTGTGCACAGGAGCCAGGAAGAGCTTGGCTAACTGCCTTTCAGAATCCTTCTCAAACTAGCGGTGGGCACTTCTGTGCATAGCAGGGTGCAGACAGCACAGTAACCATGTCAAAGATGATTTCCAGTACAGTGATGGACCGTACTATAAGACCACTAATGTGTCACAAATACAGTTTTCTACACAGACATGGTGTAGGGAGAATTACCCAGTAGTGACCTATTTGCTGTCTGTACTGACTTGGAATTGCTACTTCGGCCCTGAAGAACAGCAACAGAAACATCAGATCACAGTATCTCCAGGAGAGGAACATTTTAAGACATCCTCAAAACAGAAAGTCCTTTTACGTTTCTGTAAAGGCACCTTTTGATTGTAACTAAAATGCTAAACCGTAAAAAAAAAAAGTTTTTATAATTCCATAATGTAATGATATTGTTTTACTATGCATGAGTCCAGCGTGTGTGTCCGTGTGAGTGTGCATGCAGGTGTGTGCGCCGCATGTATTGATAGATAGATATGCATGTGTGTGCTTTTGTGCATATATATATATGCTCACATAGACTCAAACTCAGACACAAATATGTTTATTATAAAGATCTAGCAAACACAGTATGAATCAAAGTGTTGAAAAAGTGGACTTCATCTTTCCCCCTTGTAATCATTACTATAAGCAAAATTATTGTCACTACCACAAACCAATGGGAAAACAACATTCTAATAGAGCTTAATGACTTCATCATTAGGCCTGAAAGTGTTTCCCTAAGTAGGCTAAAGGATGTCACACAGACTGAAAACTTCTGCAGCCAGGTGAGTGCCTTGTTTCAATGCCCTATATGCTACCAAATAGTTCCTCTAAAACTAAAAATTGGTGCTCCTAACCAGGATAAGAGTATGAAACATTTAGAGCAATAGTCAACCCTCATCCAAGACTCGCCATGATTGCCTCAAGCAGACAGTTCCCAGCCCTCAGTGTATAGCCTTATTTTGTCTCATATAAATGCCTGTGGTCATCTATTTTCCAGACCGAGTGTAGCAAAAGGCTAGCAACAACCAATGAAATGGAACCGTTATAACAAAATATTGTAAGAAAGGTTATGTGAAATATGAATTGTTTGTTTCAAGAATTTCCCGTGCCATATTTTTGGACCCCAGTTGACCATGGCTAACTGGTGTCACCAAAAACCATGCTACACATGGAGAAACCATGGTATAGCTGCGCTTAAAGCAGGTTCCTGAGATTCCTGTGGCTGCCAGCCATGTCAGAATACGTCTGAATGATTTATTTTCTCTATTTTCCCCCTACTTTCTGGAGTTGACAGTTTGTTGTCCAATAAATAGCTGCACTCAGGAGCATCCACTCTGGTAGGGACAGTCTCTCTGAGGGGAGATAAGAGTGCTGGAGTCCCTTTCTCTCCCAGGACAATCAGATCTGAGGCTCCCTGGTTACCACAACAGTCTCCTCTCACATACGGGCTAACATCCTCTAGCTCCTCTAGCTGAGTGATTCCATTCCGTTCTGCACCCAGCTCTCTGACGGACCCTGAGGGAAGAAGTGAATAAACTCTGAACTCCTGCATAGCTGCTGACCAAGTTTAGTTGTACTGTATTTAAAAAGATGAATGCAATGAATGTATGGTGGTGACTCAGAAATAGCCTAAGTAAGGACATTCTGAACTGGAACTTGACTCCTCAGATTCAAGGCCTACAGTTTGTAGTAGAATGAGACAAGAAGAAGCAATTTTGAATCTTTAAACTTGTCCAAATTGTGAAATTCTTTATGTATTTTCAGTCAAAAAAAAAAAAAAGTCATGACCTTCTAAGAATGATTTAGCAGACACACAAAGTGTGTGGCAGAAAACCCAAGTTTGGACACTAATTGGTTATTTGGGGGCAGTTCCGGTGTTTGATGTAGACGCTGCTGTACAGGAGTGTACTTCTAAATGCAAAGTAACAATATTAAGTTTTATGTCTGCCTTTGCTCTGACCATTCATAATAACTTTAACCATTCATAATAACTAAAAACAGTCAATGGCTGTTCAGGACCCAGTACAGATAGAACGGCGACTGAGGCCACCAGCTTCCACAGAGCAGGCCTTTCAGAAGACAGTTTCCATCCGATCTTTTTCAAAGTGTTTGCCCACAGCCGTCTTCATCTCCACGCAGCCTGATGACATACATCTTGTCTCAGATACCTCAGTGTGGGAACTGGAGCGATAGCTCACTCAGCAGAATGCCAATTGCCCCACAGTTGAGGACCTGATTTTGTATCCCCAGCACAAATGTAGAGAATAAGGCACAGAAATGTGTGAGCCCTGGGGAAAGTGGAGACATGAGGATCCCTGGAGCTGGTTGGCTAAGCCGCCTAGCCAAATCTGTAATCTCTAGGCTCACTGTGAGGCCCCCTCCTCAGAAGCTAAGGTAGAAAGTAACTGAGGACGCCATTGACCTCAGATCTACACACGCACACACAGGCATGCGCGTGTGCACGCTTTCACATACACATGCACGCGTGCCTGCATTCACACAGGTATGAGCGTGAATTCACTCACACGCACCAACACCACAACACAAAAGAGTAAAAAAAGATCCAAAAGGGAAAATATTTTATTATAACCCAGAACTGTATACAACTGTATGTATTAATTTTAAAAGAGTAAAAATATAGACAGGTGACTTAAGGGGAAAAGTTCTACAGAAGAAAAGACCCAATAGAAGAAAAGACCCAATGTATATATACATATATACATACAGTACAGTTTTGTGGGCTGGTGTATATAATAATGTATAAATATAAAAGAATCATCAGATTACCTTACGTAATTGAAGGCTGGATAGTCCCACATTGGCTATCTAATGGCTATGAACCAGAATCCCCATCAGCTGCTTAGTTCAGCAGCCTGAAAGCCTCAGAAAATGAGAAACCAATGATATTCTAGTCTAGGGCCAAAGCTAAAAAGTTCCCTGGAAGAGTCACAGGTTTGAGTCCTGTCCGAAAGGCTGCAGAGCTAGAGAGTCTGACAATCCTGGCTCAGTGTCACCAGCAATAGAAGCACAAGCTTTGAGTTTGCTTGCTCACTTAGGCACCCAAGCACCCAATCTGTTCTCAGGTACCACTCAGATTCAAGCTGGTTAGTCTGTCTCCTGTAATTGCCAGTCTTTGCAGGAGAGCCATTGCAAGTGCACTCAGCAGTACGCCTTGCCGATCCAGTCAAGCAGCCAGTTAGGAAGAACTAAGGCACAACAATCAAATACGTCATCTTTAGAAATGCTCGGTGGAAACAGTATTGTTTGGTGTTAGACCATCCTAGGTCTTTATCTCCGTGTTATTTTCATAAAAATATTAAAGGACATAATAACCTTTATGTCATATTTGTTATGTGAATTAAATTGCTTTGAGCTGACAAAAACTGTGGTTTTTGGATGAAGAAAATGAGCTGGAACATTAATAGTCATTGGATATTAGCTATATATGTATTGTTGTTTGGTAATTCCATTTTTCTTAACTTAAAAAATTTGTAAAGTTAAATTTATTTTTTTTTTCTAACATGGAGATACCGATCCTCCAGAAGTAGTTTGTGTTGTTTTGTTTTGTTTTCCTGACAGTTGTCAGCTCCGGCCTCACAGTCTCCCAGGTAGCCCATTCAGGTTTTACATTTAGGTCCATGTCTTGATAACCAGCTACAAAGTTGAAATCCTTCTGGGAAATCAAAGCTCCCCGTCAAAGTAAATTTTCCCTGTGAAGGTATATTTTTTTTAATTCTTTATTAATTATACTTTATTCACTTTGTATCCCGCCTTGTATCCCTCATCTCCTCCCTTCCCAATCCCTCCCTTCCTCCACCCTCTGCATGCATGCTCTTCCCGAAGTCCACTGATAGGGGAGGTCTTCTTTTCCTTCCTTCTGATCCTAGTCAATTAGGTCTCATCAGGACACTGCTTCCCCCTCAGGGGGACGTAATTAAAGAGTAGGCCAATCAGTTCATGTCAGAGACAGTCCCTGTTCCTATTACAATGGAACCCACTTAGATACTGAACTGCCACTGGCTACATCTGTGCAGGGGTCTTAGGTTATCTCCATGCATGGTCCTTGGTTGGAGTATCAGTCTCAGGAAAGACCCCTGTGCTCAGATTTTTCAGTTCTGTTGCTCTCCTTGTGGAGTTCCTGCCCTCTCCAGATCTTACTGTTTCCCACTTCTTTCATAAGATTCCCTGCACTCTGCCCAAAGGTTGCCCATAAGTCTCAGGATCTGCATTGATAGTCTGCAGGGCAGAGCCTTTCAGAGGTCCTCTGTGTCAGGCTTCTGACTTGTTCCCTCTTTTCTCCTTCTTCTGATGTCTATCCTCTTTGCCTTTCTAAGATTTCACCTTATACCCATCAGAATGCCTAAGATCAAAAACTCAAGTGACAACACATGCTGAAGAAGATGTGGAAAAAGGGGAACCCTCCTCCACTGCTGGTGGGAATGTAAACTTGTACAAACACTCTGGAAATCAGTCTGGCTCATTCTCAGACAACTAGGAATAGCGCTTCCTCAAGAGCCAGCGATACCACTCCTAGGCATATACCCAAAAGAGGCTCAAGTACACAATAAGGACATTTGCTCAACCATGTTTGTAGCAGCCTTATTTGTAATAGCCAGAAGCTGGAAACAGCCCAGATGCCCTTCAGTGGAAGAATGGATACAGAAATTGTGGTAATCTACACAATAGGATATTACTCAGCAATAAAAAACAAGGAAATCATGAAATTTGCAGGTAAATGGTGGGATCTGGAAAAGATCATCGTGAGTGAGCTGTCCCAGAAGCAGAAAGATGCACATGGTATATACTCATTCATATAGACATGTAATATAGGATAAACCTACTAAAATCTGTACACCTAAGAAACTAATCAAGAGGGAGGACTCTTGCTAAAATGCTCAATCCCTATCCAGGAAGGTATAATTTTAAAATAAGGGGCTTGGGCTAGAGAAAGGCTCAGAGGTTAAGGGCACTGACCTTCTCAAGGACTCAACTTTGATTCCCAGCACCACATGATGGCTCAACAATCATCAGTAAACTCTAATTCCAGGAGATCTGACAGCCTCCTCTGACCTCCTCTGGTACAAGGCATGCATGTGATGCACAGACGAACAAACAGACAAAACACCCATATACATATATTATACATATACATATAATAGTAAACATTTTTAAGTTTAAAATAATGTAAGTCTCAGTGATGATGTCTAGTGTAAGCAAGTTTTTCTTTTATAAACGATTAGTGTAAACTGCCAAGACACAGAATAAAAAGGAAAAGTTGGCACTTGATGTGTAATTTATTTCTTAGTATCTAAGTGACTGTTTTTGAAAACTGGGGTTAGTGCTGGATTTCTTCCTGGTAGGTATGTGCATAAATGAAGATTAATGAGTAAATATTGCTAACACTTGTTGAGAGTTATTCAAAGTATTATTCACAGTGTCAACCTTTATTTGACTTGTAAATAACCTTGGAATCAAAGAAATACAGTAAGTTTACATGGGTCTAAGATTACAGGGTATATAGAAAATGAGACCAAGCTAACTTGGCAATGTTGCGACTTTAACAACTCTGAGATGGCTCAAAGGGTAAAAGCTACTCTTCCAGTGGTCATGAGTTCAAATCCCAATAACCACATAGTGGCTCACAACCATCTATAATGAGATCTGTGCCTTCTTCTGGCATGCAGGTGTACATGCAGACAGGACATTGTGTACTTAATTTAAGTAATATAATTAAAATAATATAAAGTAATATAAGTAACTAATATAATAATATAAAGTAATAATGATATAAGTAATATGTGATAATATTAATAAATAACATAAAGTAATAATACAAATAAATAATATAGGTTACTTATATAAATAATATAAGTAAAATAATATAAATAATAATTTCTATATCTATGAGCCCAAGTTATTCAATGGAGAGAAATTTAGGAGGGTGGATTACTTGAGTATCTTTTTCAAATACTTAAGAAAAAGTAGAGGGAAGCAAGACTGAGAACCTTGGACAAAGAATAGAGACTTACTAAAAAAAAAAAAAAAAAACTTTTTGAGCAAAATTTTTCTTTTTTATGCACAATGAAACCTCTTTTCTCCCCAAGATAGGCTAGTTTCTACAGAGTGTATGGTACCTTTTTGCCAGAAAAATACTCACTGAAGGGGTGGGTAAAATATATTCTTGGGACAGGGAGAGACGGTTAAGAGTGCCTACCGCTCTTACACTGCTCCCCATATCTGACTTTCAACTGCCTGTAACTCTAGATCCAGAGGACTCAGTTCTCTCTTCTGGCCTCAGAGGGTTTTTGTACACATATGTCACACATAAAACCCAGGCAGACATATACATTATGAATGAATGAATGAACCAATTAATTACTATTTTTAAAGTTTTTAATGTGTTCTTTCTTCCTCCAACTTGTTTACATGGACTGTGTAGGTATCATCTAATGGAGATAAGTAACAGGCGTGCTCCTTTCTGCTTTGAAGGTGTGAGGATGTTGGACGGTGATGTCACAGACATGGTGGAAGCGAAGTCTGTCAGCTACAATCCACAGCACGTGCATATCTACAGTGCCAGCTGGGGTCCAGACGATGATGGCAAGACTGTGGATGGGCCGGCTCCCCTCACCCGGCAAGCCTTTGAGAACGGTGTGAGAATGGTAGGTTTTCAAAGCATCTGGGGTGACGGTGACTGTATGCAGAGATGCTAGGCATGGCACCAGCCAGGCTGGTGGGCTGAGCAGCCACTGGAGAGACGTCCTGCACATTGGAATCATGAGTTGTTTCTGTACTACAAATGAGCTCAGTATTTCCTCTGACATAAACAGTGGACTTAGCTGTCTAGAGCCACACAGGGGAAATACATTAATTAATATGTGAACATGGCACTTTGAGAAGCAATTTTCTGGGTCTGAGCGATTGAGTGGGTTTCCACAATTTCCACTTGGCAATGGTGGATCATCCGGCGAGCATCTCCCCTGTGTGTCACTTAACTTGACTTCTGTCCAAAGACAGTATTATCTTTCTATCAGCACCAGATCTCCCTAGTCAGACAGCTTACATTTTATTTGATATCATTGACAGAGTCACTGAGCACTGTCCCCAGTAAACCTAGCTTCATTAATCTACTGTAATAGAATATCTGTTTCAAATTACTGATCTTGAATTCTGCCTTCAATGAAAGAAAAGTGAAGGGGCTAGAACTCGTAGAAGAAGTGCTCCACCAGAAGCAGGGCCTTTCATTCTGCTAACAATTAGAACCTTGAGTTCCATCAAGTGCATATGTTCTCTGAATGTCATCATTGATCTGGCCCTAACTTCCCTTGCTTTTCTCATCTTTTCCCTGCACTGTCATTCGAACATCCTCTCCTTCTTCATTGTCCATTGGCCCATCCTCCTTTCCCTGGCCTATTCTAAAGCCTGCAGTCCTCTCCTGAACAGCCATCTCTTCTCAGGAGCCTCTCTAAGATCATCCTGGAATGAACTATCATCAGCCCCCTGTTCTGTGCTCTCTATGTTTCATAGTCTTTCTGTAATGACCAAATCATATTTGTGGTTTATATCAGAGTTCATTCTCGGTTTATCTTCCTCACAAAAGTTTAAGTCCCAAGAGAGTAGAATATGCCCTTTATACATATTTATGGATTTTCCAAAACTAAGAGAATGTATTGAATTCTAGTGAGCATTCTCAAAATGTTTGTTGCATCAAATTTAGCTCACTATAGATGATGCTAACCGCACTGTTTTCAGAGACTCAGCCCAGATTTGGAAGAGTGGGATACATTCAGTGGGTTGGCATACTGTTTGAGCAGGAATAAAAACCATAGGCTTTCTTGCATATATTTGTGAGCCTAGCCTAGATTGTTAGCAAAAGCTGGAGCTAAGCCATCCCATGACTATTCTGAAATGGATTTGAGGGCTGGGGAGTGGGGTGGGGAATGCACACTTGTTTTGCAAGCACTTTCTAACAACAACAAAAAAAAAAGTCCAGCCTTAGTGAAGACATTTTCTTTTCTAGTACTGTCCATACTCAACTACTTTAGTATACTTTTCACAGACAGATAATATTGCAACTCATTGCCTAAAATTTTCCTTTCAAAGTGCCTTAATGCCAAGTGAATAATACACCCTAACTCATACCGTGTTTCGTAGCCAAAGCTGTGGACTACAAATTAATGGTATTGCCTAGTATGTCTTCAGTAAAATGGCCATTTGAATTTAATTCACATCTTCCAATTATGAACACATTACACTCATTAAAGAAGAAGAAGAAGAAGAAGAAGAAGAGGAGGAGGAGGAGGAGGAGGAGGAGGAGGGAGGAGGAGGAGGAGGAGGGGGGGGAGGAGGAGGAGGAGGAGGAGGAGGAGGAGGAGGAGGAGGAGGAGGAGGAGAAGGAGCAACCTGGAATTTCTCAACAATGGGAAAATCCTTTTGTTCATAAGGCACATGCCCTTGTGGTTGTATTCACACATATAAAGAATGCCCAAGACTAATAAATAGTTACACTAACTGACAATTGGGCATGTGGGTACATAGTAAGGTGCCAAGAAGTAAAGTTTTAAAATTTATTTTTCCTGGAGAGTCGCTAGCTCAATAGAAATAAACTATAGTCTTAATGAATAAAACAGATAAAAATGTGACACTTTGTAAAAAAGTGTTTCCTGTTTTTAGATTTAAAAACAGGTCATATGAGAAACCATCCAGATATGCGGGACTATTTAGATATGCATTGTGTGAAAAAAATTAAGCTCACTTTAATTGCAAAAAAAAAAAAAATGACCCTTTTGTTGTGATAAGTCATAGGCCGAAAGGATAGTAGGAAGCAGTTAATAATGGATTTCCCTTCCCAAGTCATCAGTCATTGAGTGCTAAGTGCAGACACAACATCTTTCCATACCCTTAACCACGTTAGCCAACTGGGAATCACATTGGATCTCTGCATGGATCCCATGGGCACCATCCCAGTGCAGCCCATGGAAGTAGGGCTCACTAGTTTTATTTGTTTCAAAAATTTTGGAGTCTTGAAGCACCATAATTTAGGTGCTGGGGTATAGCTCTGCACTCAAGCGTGTGCTTAGCATCCAAGAGACCCTAGGTTCAATGCCCAGCACTGAAGGATAGCATGATTTATTCAGCATTCCTTTAAAGATCTTCCGAGTATTTAATCTGAATAAAAAGGACTTCAGTTTTAAGATGAACCATTAATTTTTAGAGTTGAAGCAGTAGCAAAAGCAGTAACTCTTAAAAGAGAAGGTTTGTCTTCTGGTTCGACTGCCATCTCAATATAAAATGACAGCTATAAACCATTGAAATGAGGCAAAATTGATTGGATAGTGTTTTCATGTGTTTAGTACATTGAGGCTTTCAAAGTTAAGCTTAGGTCAAGCCTAATATTTCTCATTTACTTCTGACTTTAAATCAAACACCTTGCTTTTCTTTCCTCTTGTAAACCGGTGTCGTGTTATAACTACTTATTCACAGAGATTTTATGAAAAACATATGCACTGTCTGAATATAGTAAGTGCTTGATAAAAACTCCTTAGGGAAAATATATCTTCTTCAAAAGTACTATTTATTTTTGTCCTTAGTCCCTCGTGCTTCACTCCTAGATCAAGTCTACGTTGCAAAATTCTAGATGACTCTGTCGGGTTACTTTTTACAATAGAATAGAAATAACATGGCACAGATCAGCACAGACTCTCTGAGCTTTGTTGAGGTCATTTGCATTGTTCTGCCTCTGTCTATTTATACCATCCATTCCACTTGCTGTGAAAAAAAAAAGTGTCTACAATTTAAAGCATCTGCAATTTTACTGTGATTCTCTGTAAGTGACTGTGGAGGGGGGTATGTATGTGTGAGTGTGTGAATGTGTCACCCATGTACCTATTCTCAACTTGTTTATTTTCTCTAGATAGATGTGAGTATACCATTCCACATTCCAAATGGATATTGCATAGTCTTTATCAGAAAAATGAAATTTTTCACTACTTTCTCATGATGAAGCAACAAGTGAGACCTAAATTTATCTCCTTTGAAATATGAATAGAAGAAAATAAGTGAGCTACCGAGTGATTTGAGGGCCTAAGCAACAAAGGCAGGGAAAGAAATGCCTTCAGCTAACCGACGAAAAGCTTTGCCATGACCGTAAGTCACTTTGGCCCTACGTCTTCCACTTCATGCAGGGATTGAAATGAATAGTCCCTATACAACACAAAAACCAAGCAGAGAATCCTCAGGAGTCTTCAAGCTGAGATGCATGCAGTGGGTGCAGTAAGGCTGGTCACAGACGAGGGCAGCACTGCTTTACATGGGAAGGGAAGCAGTATATGCAGACATAAAAGATAAGCCAATCCCGTGAAGACCTGGAAGAGGAACGTTTTGTGCAGAAGGGGAAGAAAGTACCAAAAACCCTGAATAGCAAAGGGTTTTTTGCAAATAGCAGAAGGTTTGCCTGAGTAGCCAAAGGTTTGCAGTTCATTTCTAAAACAGAAGAGTAGGAAGAGTATGAGCAGAAAGCAATAGAAAGATGGGATTGCCTAAGGCCAGCTCAGCAGGCCCTCTAGTCACAGAGAAGGTTTGCATTCCATCCTCTTACAGAAAGCCACTGGAGATTGAGATATGGCAGAGGTCCTGTAGATAAGCCATCTGTGGGGTGAATGATGGGGTATAATAGTGAAAGATTGCGGTGGTCCAGGACAACATTATGACCGTGGCAGCATTATTCAGACCACCAGAAAGATCAGGCAGCAGGAGAAAGAAGCACAAGTATCAAGAAATCTATTCAGAGGAAATAAATACATTTCACTTAAGGCTTCCAACTATTGATTGTGTCCATTCTTGCTGCTTACTAATCAAAAACTTACTAAATATTGACCTTCAAGATGCTCTCCATTTGTTTATTATAAGATAAACATTTTAATCAGTAGGATGCAACAGTGCTTTAAAAGACTAACAAAATCAGAATTGATTCAATTTGATATAGTCCCTTTAGAATTAATGTGCCAAAAACTGTATCAGAGAAACTGTGTTAAACAAACCATATCATAGCTGACAACTTGCTCTCCTCTCTCTCGGGATTGCATTTTATTTGATGTCAAGGAGCTATAAAATGAGTGTAATTTTTAGAGTCATATGATTTAGCCTATACTCAGGGAATGGAAATGTGATGATGATGAAGTGGAGGAGGAGGAAGAAGAGGAGGAGGAAAAGCTTGGAGATAATGACAGTGACAATGATAACATGAAAGTTTAATATTTTGGCCGATCTGTTCACTGCTATCACTCAGCTAAGCCCCAAATGGGCTGTTAACTTTTAATCTAGACAATAATCTTGTGAGTCAGGCACTATTTCCTGAGTCTTACAAGTAGAGAAAACAAATCTATCCTAGCTATCAAAGTCAGAGCAGGGGCCTTAGAGCACTTGAGTAAGTTTAGCTGCGTGTTCCTTTCTATCTTCTTTGACACATCTAACTCCTCCTCCATGTTTTCCTGTTTCAGCTTTGTTATCAAATACACATTCACACAGTCAGTTCTCCTATCTTAGACTGAATAAATAGGGCTGGAGAGATGACTCATTGGTTAAGAGCACTGGCTGCTCTTCCAGCGGTCCAAGGTTCAATTCCCAGCACCCACATGGCAGCTCACAGCTAGGTGTTCCAGAG